CGCGAGAGAGAGGGAAGATCGGAACCTTCTCGAAGCTAGACCGAGCACTCTAGAACGCCGTACGACAAGGACGGAGCAATCTGCGAAAGAGATAGCTAGTACGCACATTCTAGAATTGTGCGATCGCTACTCAGTTGCGCTGCCGCCTAGAGAGTTCTCGAACATCGCTCCCAGGGATATATTAGCGAGCCGAAACGCGACCGATTAGTTCAGTTTTGAATGCGATACCAAGCGATAAACACCGGAGTGACAAAGTGCGAATATAGTGAAGAAAAGTGAATACAAGTACTGTGTGAAGTGCGTGTTATTAGAGTAATTAGTGACAGTATTTTGTGTGTTTATTTAGTGAATTTTTGTGCATAATTTCCAGTTTTTAGTGTTAACAAATTCCTCGTAGATTTAATTGAAATAAACCCTTGAAGAGATCTACGGCGTTTCTATCCGATCCCCTAGCTCGTAACAATATATACTAACACTAGTAGACTCGGCCAAGCGTTGCTCTGGCTAAGATTTTTGTTATATTACATAGTAGTAAACTATTCAAGGGAAACGGTAGGAGAACTTATGTGAAAGGTAGATGACAGCTTATGTGAAACGTTGATAATTTTAACACAGCGCCATCTGTTAGAATTGTATCAAATAATAAACAAATATTTTGCAATAAATTAAAATTGCGACTATAATTTGAGATTTAAACTATCCTATCTCTCAAGTTGGATCGAACTGCACATGGTGTGCAAATTTGATTGATATCGGTTCGGTAGTTTAGGAGTCCATTGAGGACAAACATTTTGACACGAGATTTATATATATTAAGATAAGACAAAATTTATGCCAAAGAAATTTGTATGGGAATAACAGCTCACTCACACTAGCTCAGGCCTAGTCACGTGACCATCTTCATATAAATACATTTGTATGAAGACGGTCAAGCCCCTCTGCTTATACAAATACAGTAAAATTGTTTGTATAATTCATTTACTCTACATTTTACATCGCAACCGTTTCACGTCACATATACAACGGAAGTCAATGTCGTCACAAAATTTATGTTAAACTTCTGAGAAATGCCAGAACCAAAACAAAGGAATGTAAGACAGCTTCATATTAATATGTATATACAGTATACACCTCTCATGTACTCAACGCTTTTCCAGCGAGTAATAAAATCTGCTCCACAGAAATCTATCCAGACTGGACCAAATACAAATAATAATAACAAAAATTAACCCTAACATCAGAGTCGATATTTGAGTATGAATTCCATTTAATTTGATACGGAAAAGTCATACGAATGAATCATTAATTCTCAAAAATGGACATTTAAGAGATCCAAATAACTATTCTTCTCAGAAGACTATATGATTTTTTTATTAAAAGTCACAGCGCGTAGCTAGTGATAATAGCTAGATTTAAAAATGTAATATTGAAGAGTTCGTGCAAGTCCATTACAAGCTAAATTGGTTAATATGACTTTGACCTACACAGTATGCTCACGGCATGGCCCCATGCCAATCGCTAGCGTGTTGGCAACTCTAGTAAACTTTAGGGAACATGAGGTAAATGTTTATAATTGTGTTACTACTAAGCCACAATTTTTTAACACTGCTTTTCTAGGAGCTTCGTATCACCTATCGTTAAACCCTTACTATAAAATTAATCAGTGGCGCTACAACCTTTTTAGGTGAGGGCTTCAGATTTCTGTGTCTGTTTCATGATCATTTGTCAATCTAATAGCCAAGTTGGTGATCAGCCTGCTGACACACGCCGTCGACTCTTTGGGTTTAAGGCAAACCAGCTTCCTCACAAAGTTTTCCTTCACCTTTCGAGCGAATGTTAAATGCGAACATAGAAAGAAAGTCCATTGGTGGCAGCCGGGGATCGAACCGACGACCTCAGGGATGAGGGTCGCACGCTGAAGGCACTAGCCCAACACAGCTCTAACCTCTGCTCAACCCCCTATGGTTGATTTAATATTATTCAAAATTAGAAGTCTCCGATGTATATATACGCGGACATATTTCACAATACATCCGATGGGATTTAAGTATCCGACACTTTTAACATTTTCTTTACAACGACCAAATACCTATTGATCGGCGGGCAATGTCGCCTCCAAACCACTTGTTACATAAATACCAGTTATACTTAACTAGCATCGTCCGCATGATACTGTATTTCAGCAAGATTTTGCGACCTCTTCAGCAATAATCGTAATATTTCAGTCAATTTAATAAATACATCTAAACCTACATCAGGAATACTATCTATAGTGATGATTGTACAAAATCCGATAGGTACTTTTTATCGCATATATATGTCAACGTAAAATTGTAAAAACCGTTAGATTGTAATCTATCTCGCGAGATTATAAACTGTCGAAAAATTGTGAACTCAACGTACTGCTTACAATTTAACGTATTATTATTCGGTAGATTATAATCTATCGAATGAAATCGTCAAATTGTGAAACGGAAGAACCATAGAGTTACAAAACTATTACAGCGGGCATAATGAAAATAGTAAAAAATGTAATTGCAAAAAAATAAAAAGAAAGCTAATGTTCTTTGTAACTCCAGGTGCCACAACTCGTTGACGTGCAACAATAATTGAACATTTTTATTGGTGCAATTTACTTTCTTATTTTTTATATAATAGACAATTTTGTTATGTTTTCAAAAACATTTCATATGTTTTCGATTTGTTTTTTTTTTAATTTTGATTTTATTTTGTGATCGTTTTTTTCTAAAAGAAAATTTCATTAATTTTTCAATTTTAATTTGTGTTTGAAGAGAAAATATTGTTACGTTTCTGATTTTTTTATTTTGATATATTTTTTTCATCATGTGATGTCAGAATTATTGATTACCTACTAAGTAATAAATACTAATTTTTTGAAGTGCATTCATTTTATTTGACCGATACCCTTGTTTCATTACTAACTCTATGGACATATAACGGTCTACTATAAAGCCTACCAATCAGCGCGCGAGGTGCGTACCGTTTCACAATTTGACGATTTCACTTCGATAGATTATAATCTACCGAATAATAATACGTTAAATTGTAAGCAGTATCTTGAGTTCACAATCTTTCGACAGTTTATAATCTCGCGAGATAGATTACAATCTAACGGTATTTACAATTTTACGTTAACATATATACAAACAGACGTGGCCAGCGAATTAAATTTATAAAGATCTATGCCACATGATTTTATGATTGCATATCCATGATCTTATGACATGCTTACCACAAACCTTATCGGTTTTACATAATATAATAATAATTTATAACATAACGCAAAAACATTGTCGATTAGAGTACACACGTCATAAAGGTTGACGTAACATTGATAAATCAAATTACCTAATGTAATCTATATTATTAAAAATACGAAAGAAATGCTTTACAAAAAATATTTAATAATATTCATAATTATCTATGACCGTTAAACTGCGTAATATAGGTGAATCAGTCTCAATATTTTTCATTGAGTATTCCAACGAATTTTTGAAGAAAAACAGAAGACAATATTCTCATAGCAAGAAATTAAACTTAAGTTCAGTAATTATTCCAGGTCCAGATGTTAGAGTAAGATTCAGAGTCAGCGAACAGTGACTTCCGTCAAAATTAAATACATATTTTTTATTTATTTAATTATTTATTATTACCTACCCTCATAATAAGACTTATATTTTCCATCTTCCTATATGGAGCAGAAACGTGGGCAATCTCAGCCCAAGAAAGACAAAGGATTTCCGATTAAGAAACGTGGTGCTGGGGGTGGATGTTAAGAATAAAATAAATCGAATCTTCTCATCTCAATATTAAAACCCGTTTACAACTATATGAGGAAAATTAATCACGCCAGATGCTACTATACGAAACTGGGAGAACACGAAAATGAGTCACCGACCCAGAGCGAGAGAGAGATAATAACATTGTTAACGATAATAAGAGCCTGAACGGCGAGGGCTGATGGCTGGCCATGCGTTATACTCGCGAACGGGCGCTGCTTGTGGTGACTGGTCGGACTTGAATTCGTGTATGCGGTGATGTTAGTTATTTCGACTATGTATTTGCGTGTTGTTCTCACGAGAATGTAAGTGCGTGCTCCTATTTATATTTCACCATGCCTACTGCGGGATAGAGGACAAATCTTAGTTTTTTTTAAATTAACTATTAATAACTTAAGATGTCATGTGGAACATGGTGTAACGGTCCTTACAAACGTTGTGTAAAACAAAAAACTTGGCGATTAAAAAGAGTGGCGGAGAGTTTATTGCCAGTTCTTCTCGTCCGTTCTACGCCCTTGATTTGAGAACTGGCAGTAAATGTAAAATTAGAAACATTTAGCATCTAGTCAAGTAGTGGGTCCGCGAAATAAGGGTTTTTAAAAACTTAAAGTTAAAATGAATACAACCGGTCCGATTTGAGGTCCGTTTAATACTAAATATTACAAGTATTCTATTATATTTATATCCTATTCTTAAAGGCCTACGTGACCGTTGTGCTGACACATTGTTCTCACGCTCTACAAGGAAACGTTACTTAGTAAGAACTAAGAGTGGTTCGTAAATCATGTAAGTGTGGTTCGTAAATCATGTAACAGCATTTCGGCTATTGAAATATAAAGGATCTTTGTACTACTATGTTGCAATGGTTTTTTGTTTATATAAAATATAATTATCCTATGGTGGTGACACACGGGATTATATAACTCCTCCCTCCTTAAGAGCGAAATTATCAGGGGATTGCACATGCAAATTCTGATTATTTCGCCACTGCGACATATTAATAATCTTATTTTTTATAAAAAACACAACAATTAGCAAAATACAATAAAAGAGTGCCTAAACTAATGCTTTTCACTTTCACTGAATTGCCCATTTCACTATCACTATCTCTGTTAAGTTGTTACAGCATGTAAGACATGTGTTGCCGGTCACTGAGCTCCATTCCTTGTAAGTTTACTGGATTCTGATTTTCCTTAGAGTTCACTGTTGACTGTAACTCCAGCAGCTTAATGGATGGGATACGTTCTGATGACATATTTTCTGTATATGAACGCTGATGATGTAATTGGATGTCATTGATGTTGAGATCGCAGGGTTAATCTCTTCTATAATTACTGTATTCTGGTCACAGTTGGATGGGTTTTCCTTGAAGGTCATCAGCTCCTCAATGCATGTCGTTTCAGGATACGGTGCCCCTGTTTTCTTGTGTGCAGAGATAATAAATTTTCCTCAGAGACTTGTTTGCAAGGCTGTATAAGCGGTAAGTATGTTACACCTTTCACCAGGATATAGGGATATTTAGGAATGATTATTAAGGTTAGGTTTTTAGGGTCATGAAAGATAGGTAAGGGATACATTTTATTATAACTATAAGTTGAATTGGTTATTAAAGCTACCTCTAATACAAAAGTTATTTTCCTGTCTATCATGTATGATTTAACATTAATCGTATCTTCTAATTTAACTAAATTATCCCAAGTGGGTGGATACATAAGATTTTCTGACTGTGATATATAAATTAAAATCTGTAATAAATGTGTAAAACATTGGTTGTGGTGAAAGCCAAAGCAATTTCTAATTCGCTTATTTTTTATATAAAGCGTTCTAAAATTACTTACAAAAAGATTATATAAACTTAAAACATAATATGTAGAGTATACTGCATTATTTTCTTTAGTACTTATGTCTTTTAACATTTTTTTTCTACACGTTTTAGTCTTTCGTCCATAATTTTTGAGTTATTGTGTAATATTTCTGATGAATTAATGAGTCCATCTAACATTTTGGAAACAACTGTTAAACGCTTGTTTGTTGAAATTTTGTTGATTACCTAATTGATTAATTTACTGTTCATATCGTTGAGCATCTTCCTGATCTAAGTTTCCAGTTATCATTTTAATAATAGAGCCTAGAGGATTCAATATTCCTCTTCGTACTCGGTGTGAAGGGATAATTTGCCTAATCTTTTTAGTAGTTATTCTTTCCAAATACTCTACTTGTTCCCTTATTCCTAAAAATCTTTAAACTAAGGCTTATCATCAGTTACTATCTTACTAAAATTACTATATTTCCTTTTGTTTTATTATAATTCCATCAGTAGGCCATTTAAATCTAATACCTTAAAAATAAGCCAGTTATCCTGTTGGATGAAGGCTGTTCCCTGTCTTACGGATCCCTGGATTGTTTTCAACCTTTTGAAGTTGAAGGCCCAAGCTGGGGCTCGTGAGTGTCATCATGATCACTAAGCACCACCTTTGAAGGTCGTTTTATGTTTTTAATTTTTACCTTTTTGTGTTTACCTCTAATTGTAATAGGGATGGTGTTTCTTTCAGGTTTTCCTGTAACTATGGCCTTTTCAAAACAAGGTTTGTCCTTACTTTTACGAGTGTTTATTAATTTTGTGAAAATTGTTTTCCCTTCTGGTAACGGGACGTCGGATTCGCCACCGCGTTTTTCTCTAGAGTTTTCCTTAAAGGTTAACATTTTATCAGATATGATTTTGTATAAAACTTTTATTCTTTTGGCGTGATCTTTAATTAATTTTTGCAAGTATCGTTTCTCGAAGTCTATATTGAATGCGTTTTCAGAATCTACATGGCCAAACACTACTTCAAACGGTGTTAAAGTTGTTACAGTATGAATCGCATTATTATATGCCATGATGAGTGATATAATAGATGCGGCGTCGGTACATTGTTGTTCGTATTTTGTCAGTCTGTAAATTTCAATTAAGGTGGAATGAAAACGTTTAACTATTCCCATTGAATTAGGGTTCCTAGGTGTGTCAATATGTATTTGGATTTTATAGAGTGACATCATTTCTTTCAATAGATCGTTGTTGAATTCAGTACCAGAGTCGCAGCTTATTTTCTTAGGTATGCCGTAAAATGAAAAGTATTTTATTAGTGCGCGGATAACGTCAGGTGTGCCTTTGATAGTAATTTCAATTGCCTGTCTTAGTTTGCTAAAAGCGTAAACTAAGGTGAGGTATGTTTTTCCTTCGATACTAAATATATCTATAAATAATTCCTGGAATGGGGCATGTTGCTTTTGAGTTAACTGTAAATATGGTTTCAAAGGCTTTCGGTCATATTTCATATGTTTACAGGCTTCACAAGAATTAATTACTGCTGATATAGTTTCTTTCATGTTATTCCAAAAGAAGTGTCGCCTGATGCGAGTAAAAGTTTCTTGAATACCTCTGTGACAGGATTTTCCGAGATGAAATTTCAGAATAACGGCGTTCTGTTCATTTTCATCGTCAATAAAAACGATTCTTTCCGTACACTCATAAAATTGAATTGATACACCTTTAAAAAGCCTAATTACCATGTTGCTGAATTGTTTGCGATGTTCCGTATTTCCGAAATATATAAAATATTTCTTTTTGGGTTTTATGTATTCTTTCAGGAATTGTTTGATTAAATAATTACACAATTACTCAATAATTATAGCTCACAGAATTTGATGTGAATCTAAACTTATACTTACTTTAGGGGTTGCAGAATTTCATGCACTAACCTACTTACTTCTATGTTTCTTTAATTTACTTATTACAATTTACCTTTATATGAATTTAACTCTAACAAAGTCTTAAAACTATCGTTAAGATGAGAGATGTCGATCTCAAAATAACAAAAGAAAAGTGGAGAGGGCTGGATTTGAAAGGTGAAAAGGTGACTTACCAGTACATCGCTGCCTCAACACTCGCACAAAACACCCTTAACGCTTTTGGATTTTTGTTCTTGACAAATTTATTTGTTCTTTTGAATAGCCGTTTTTAGCAATCGCGACGTAGTTTCCCCTTTTTAGGTAAGCAGAATTTGATGCTCGAACCGATAATTGAGAAGTACGTGCAGCTAGAGCGACTATCCTGTCCTCAGCGCCAGTCAAGTAGTGGGTCCGCGAAATAAGGGTTTTTTAAAAACTTAAAGTTAAAATGAATACAACCGGTCCGATTTGAGGTCCGTTTAATACTAAATATTACAAGTATTCTATTATATTTATATCCTATTCTTAAAGGCCTACGTGACCGTTGTGCTGACACATTGTTCTCACGCTCTACAAGGAAACGTTACTTAGTAAGAACTAAGAGTGGTTCGTAAATCATGTAAGTGTGGTTCGTAAATCATGTAACAGCATTTCGGCTATTGAAATATAAAGGATCTTTGTACTACTATGTTGCAATGGTTTTTTGTTTATATAAAATATAATTATCCTATGGTGGTGACACACGGGATTATATAACTATCTACTATGTATTTCTTTATTGACGTTCATAAGTGTACATTGTGTTACCTAAATGAATAAATGATTTTGAATTTTAAACCTAAATGTACCTTGGCTCAAGCTTGAATACTTGGTAGTTTATGCTGTCATCTTAAAATAAATTATTCAAACGAGGAGTTTCCTCGCGTCTGGCCTTGATTCGTCCTTAATCAATGTCAGTAGGTACGTCGACAATGCTATTGCATCCTCCTGGTCGAGAATGTTACAGAGAGGAAGTATTAAATTGTCACATATTAAAATATATATATATATTTTAAATATGCCGTAGACATTAAATAAGTAAATGAATTGTAATAGTGTGACCTAATTTAGTGATTTAGAAGTTATGTTTGTTTAAGGCGAGTTACCTGCAGTCAAACTGCGTAAGCAGTTTAGCGGGGCATGGTTTAAATGAAAGCGTAACTTTGTATGAATATTACATACATCAATTTTTATCCATGCTTAAAAACATTCAAAATATGAACTCTTTAGCCCTGTGACCTCTATAAGCGTTGCCTCTTTTGTGGAAAAAAAAATTAGATACTTCATCACAGTTTTGTCCATTCCCATAGGCTGGTCAGAATTAAAAATAAAGTGTTATTGAGACTGACTTGTATAAAACATGGCTATAAAAAGCGTTATGAAGTAAAATAACTTGTAATTAATCATCTATTCATAAAAATAATCGATAATTAAAAATATGTGATTTTAGACGACAGTAACGTGCAACAAAACGGTCACACATTAGTCAATTCAACAATGACGTACCATGCTAATAAATGTCATTTCTTTGAGTTCGAATTTTATCGGATTCTGTTTTTGATCGAGAACAAATAAACTTGTGTAATTAAAGAACCATAATTAACACGTAAAACCCTTTTTGTTTACGTGTTTACTGGCATGGTAGGTCCTAGGGACTGGTGCGATACCGTCTTTAGTAGAAAAGCGTTTTCACGTGTTCGAGATGGGACGGGATTATAAATGTTTGATTTGAATTTTTGAAACTATGACTTTATCACAGAATTAAAATATATTTGTAAATGAGCCTGGTCACTAATCTGAAATGGTTTTTAAAATCTTGCCAAAAAGCCCAATTTAGTTTGCCGATGACTTTCCGATTCGACAATGTTAAGATTAACAGAGTTTAACAGTAAAAATTACTTTGAATCATATGCAATTTTAAGATAACTATGTTTACAAAACAGTGTCTCATACATGTTTATTATGAAGCTTTAAAGACAGATTATCATACTTCATAAATTGTCTTTTAATAGATATCGGACGTCATTTAATGAAACCTTTTGCCAAGATTCAGTGCTATTTTCTTTATCATTGCATTCTTTGCATTGGCATTTTATTGGACTAACAACCTTTTAAAAGTGACTTATTTATATTAGAAAGCATGGCATTAGATTACATTACAGACATTCAAAGCGACTTACAACGAAAAAGTATATTGGAGATATGTTTTGTATGAAAAGCTATATTTGTGTCAAAATTAAATCACTAACACTACAGCTATGAAACACAAATTTCTGAAAAATCTATAAATTATATGACAAGAAATGACATTTTTTTATTCATAAAAATACATCAAATATTTCTCTAGGACAGTTTTTACTGGAATATTCAATCGTCGTTTTTAATATTTTTGTTTATGTATTATTTGTGTTTACCGTTAAAACCTTCCCCGAACTTCCACAAATATTTCAAGCTCTTAATTAGCCAAATCGTTTCACCCTTTTCGAGTAGGTATTAGCGAAACAAACGACCAGCAAGTCAGTATATGTATATCGATAACCATGAATAAAAAAATTATCAATTACATTACTTTATGATCATTAGAAGGTTTAATAAATTATTTTAATGATAAGAGTTATCTTCACGAGCTAATACGTACTCAAGGGCAGAGAATTGTAAATTATTGTAACAATGTTGATAGCAAGAAGAAAAACAATGTTATCATTTGCAAAAAATCAATATCTTCAATTATAAACTTGTATATTTTCGTAAGTTATTTCTGCATATACCTACATATATCTACAAAACATTTCTTCGTCTGGTTCACAGATATTTCCTTCAAAGCCTTCAATTTTTCGTAGATTTAGAACCTTTTCAAAGTCTAATCATACATATACACATATAATATTAAAAATTACTTTATAGTTCGGAATAAAAACAAGTTTCGTTTGTATAGCATTGGAGCCACTTACGGTATCGAAAATTAAATGTAAAGATAGATTTTTGTATGGAAATCTTCATCATCATTCCGTGTTTGCAGGCACGAACGCCATTCGAATAGAATACGTGTAGTAAACTAAACAAACTGAATGGAAAGTTGCATTGTTGCTTGAGCTGCATATGTACATATAAATCGTAAAATTCGTTCTAAGCATTCGTTCGGCCGGTTTGTTGAATTAAATCATGCTAATCGGTCGATTGTCAAATGTTTGCTATGTGCTGATTCAGTAAAAGAGATTGTACGTGACAACTTGCACGAAATGAGCTTTTACTTTGTAAGCACGGTAATGGTGTACTTGATAATTATTTGGCCCAGTTAGACTAAACATGTTTTGGGCAGTATTAACTATAACATTGCCCTCATTCTGTCAAAGAGAACTTTGTTTTAAAATTTATCTATACTAATATTATAAAGAGGAAAGATTTGATTTTTTGTTTGTTTGAAATGAATAGGCTCCGAAACTACTGGACCGATTTCAAAAATTCTTTCACCGTTGGCAAGCTACACTATTCCCGAGTGACATAGGCATGTTTCATTTTCAAAAAATTAGGGATGCTTACTAAAACTTGAATAATCTAACCCAAGGTGTAAAAAAATAAACCAAAAACTTCCTTCAATCGCGTGCGCTGCGAAAACTATTAATGATAGAACAAAATGATGTTTTACAATTTTTCAGGAGCATGTCTCTATCTTTTATAGTTACGTCACAATAAGCGTCCTTTTATTAATTTTTTTTTATTAAAATACCACCGCTATAAAAGGCTCTTTACTCGTACCTAGGTATTGATCCTTATCAAAATAAATACCAACGTTTCACATAAGCTACAATTTAATGGCATAACCACCAAAAAAGCATGGTGGATTGGTGTTCTCCTGCCTTTTCTCTTGAATAGTTTACTACTATGTAATATAACAAAAATCTTAGCCACAGCAACTCTTGGCCGAGTCTACTAGTAAACTATACGTTAGAACCAATTAATATATAAAGACTATAAAAATCCCTTCCCAATTTTTTAATGAAAATTTTATACAGCACACCACTAGGTCATCAGCGCCCTAAGCCGATGTTTTTGAGAATATTTTTTAATTGGCTTAACGCTGTCGAAACAGCGGGGCAAAGTACTATATCGTAACTGTGCATTTTTAATTTCCCCTACGAAGCAAAATTTTTATTAAATAAATAAACCCACCGCAGCCGCTTTACGTCCCTAGAACTCAGAGTAGACCTTAAAGTGTAAATGTTTACTTAAATGTTATAGTCGCATGTGTTTACAAAATATTTCCCTGAGATTCGAAACTAAAACACTATGCGGTTGCGTATTTCATACCAATAATATCAAGTGCAATGTCATTATAAAACGGAAGCAAAGTTCTGCGAAGGTTGAGGTTAGCATCACGAGATCATATTTATTGTTTTTCTGAAACCGGTTTTATGCTTTAGCTTATAATTACAACGTGTTCGCTGCTATAAACACACATTACTTAAACATTAAAATATTTTATAATGAAGTTGGTTAAAAATACTATGTAATAGGAGATAACGGACTTTGATTACAAAATATCTTTTTTTTTATGAAACCCTTATACGAGAAGTTCAGTAATTATGAGGTTTACAAGACTGTAAGCATGACTAGGCATGCCGCATGAGGCACATCAGACATATTGTAGGTCAGGATTAAGGATGGGACTCGGAAGCGAGACTTCGCAGTCTGACTCCCGAATGTCAAAAAAATTAAGATCTAGATGTGTGTTTACGTAAAATTACTTGTTTATGAATCTTAAGAAAACCCTATATAAAAATTGACCTGATTAATGTTTTCGA